ACAAAGAAGGGTTTCTGCTTTGGGAAAACCAGCTTGAGGGGTTTGGGGTTTTTCTTGGCAGGACTTTTGTTGTGTTGAACTGGTGAAAAGTAACTCTCCAAGTAATCCACAAAAGAAAAGGTTTATTTGGGAAAAGAAATAGAAGCAAGACCAGCACCGCAGTGCAGTGCGGAAAGCACACCTCCTACACGGAGCTCCTACTGGCAGCCCACGTGGAGGCAGAAAGACCCTGGTTTCAAGATGGCTAATCCCTTTATTATGACCCCACCCCCAGAATTATCATAAGGGTGAACAGGAAATCAGGATTAATAGAGTTAACAAGGGCCCAGCCCCCACATAGTCCTCCCAGCTCTATGGTTAAGCATCTTAAGGTGCCAGTTCACTTTATCAGTTCATTGAGAAAAACTAAAAATGTTTCAAAGTATGCTTTGTTTGAAATATTAGATCCATGTATTCAGAAAATTCAAAAGTTGGTCTTTATTTAGATGTTTATGCTTTGTTAAGTCCCGGAGAGATGAAAACCAGTAAGACTTGCTTTCCTTAAGGAATGTACAGTTTAGTGGATGGACATAAACATACTTTATGTTCATTTTAAGATAAACGCAGTCTCTCTGACCTTACAGGGCCTCTCTGCAGAGACCAGGGGCTGCCTCTGTCATCGGTGTCTGTGTCTTCATCTATCAAATGAAGACAATATCAGTCCTTCCTACCTTAAAATGTGACTGAGGGGATGAAATTATACATCTGCAAGTATTTTCAGTACATCTTTTACTAGTGTTTCCCACCTGGTGGTCCACCTGAATTGTGTCACCGGGCGGTAGGGGTGACGGGCTTGTTAAAGGGGGGGGTTCCTGGCCCACCCCAGACCTGCTGTATTAGAATGTCAGGGAGCACATTTTTATCACAGCTTTCAAGCGGTTCTTACTTTGAGTTAGAGAAACTTTGTTTTGTTCAAATGTTTTATACTGTTGTTATTAGGGATCATCTTCAGAACTAAAGCTTGGAAACAGTTACCTCCCCAAGGTTACTTGGTGTGTGGTGGAGACAGGGCCCAATCCAGTTATCTATAAATCTAGTGGTTCTCTTTTTATGACATCAGATTGTTTCCTTTCTATGACATCAGGTTATTCCTTCTATGGAAGGATTATGTGAATGAAGAGTACTGTTTTTCTTAGTGGGAGGCACTGTGTTGTGAAAGTAGCCATGTGAGTGACAGACTGTTCTAAGGCGTGCAGGGCAGATTGCGGGAAGGAGCAGGTCCCCTGCACAGCTGGGCCTTGGCACTCGGCTCCTACTTCCTTGTCTCCCTCCAGGGCAGCCCCCGCCCCCAGCTGAGCACATAAGAGAAAACGGAGGAGTTGCACTTGCCTCACCTTTCTGCTGGTTCATTTCCATAGCTGATCTTCAGGGCTGTCACAGTTCCCAAACTGCGTGCCTCAGCACCCTCAGAGTCACGGGTTCCATGAGATATTTAAACTTCCGAGGGAATCGCAGTGATACATGTGCAAACCCTAGCTTGAGGCGGTTCCCAGTTTCAACTTAGAACATGCTACATTCCTTTCTATTATGTAGTATCTTCATGAAATTGAATTTTTAGCTGTTGTGATACAAAGCAATTTCTCAGGAAAATCCATATGTCACCAGGAAATGAGAGAGGGTGTCCAGGCTGGTTCCAAGGTGTGAGGAGTTGTCCGGTGCCAATCCCCACACACGTCCCGATAGTAGGTAACTGTGGTCCTTTTGGAGCAGAGGGACAATATTTTTCCTTTTAATTTATGTGTGTTAGTTTTTCAGACAGCTACTACATCGATGATAGGACATAAATGCTTACCACACTGTTTGGACTTAACTACTTAATAAAGCTAACCACTAGGTGTTTCCTTTGGCCTGGGGCATCGCGAAAAAATCAGAGACACTAAGGGTGACATGAAGCCATAAAGTTTAGGAATTTCTGCTTAGGTTGGAGGGAGAAGAGAATTTGATTGAAACTTCAATTAAAGAAATGTATTCATAGAGAAGTCACTGATTTCTTCAGGCATTGGAAAGAAGTGGTCGGTTTGATGGCCCAACATCGGGGCCCTCTAGACAGGACAGGACTGGGATGCCTAGACATGGGGGACAGGGATGCCGCCCTGGGCACACCTGTCTTGTCCTGCAGTAGCACAGTCTTTCCTCACGTCCTCTGCTGCCTACCCCAAACCGACCCTCACTTCTTAGGCTTCACCTCTTCCTGGGACTGCACCCCAGACAATGCGTTGCTGGCTTCCGCCGTCAGTGACTGAGGGAAGGGGATGGAAAAGGACCCCTTGTCCCCGCTCACTGCCTGCTTCTCACGTATCAGGACTTGAGATCATTCAACACAGCGATGATTATTACATGTCTGCCTCTTCTGGAACTTTCAGTCAGTTCACAGAAATACCTTTCATAATTTTTCAAGAAAAAAGGCAGAAATCAGAAAAGAATGTTTCATCTATCCAGTATCTACTGTTGAATGGTGAGAAGCTGCAGTGGGCGGAACACGAGTGGGGCTCAGGCAGCCATGTAGACGATGGCCACTAAATTCATGGCCGTTTTTCTGGCTTTTCATTTCATGAAATGGGCATAATACCTACCTCAGAGGGCTACTGAAAGGACTGAATGTACGTAAAGTGAGTGATAGCACTGGGCTTGGCACATTCGAAACATCCAGCACGCGTCATAGGTGTCTTCAGAGCCGAGGCTGCTGCACCTGCTGGGGTCTCCTCCAGCCTGAGCGCCACAGGGGTCCGGCGGGTGGCTGGCAGGCTCTGTGAGTGCCTACTTCACTTTCCCCAGGACACACACGGACCGGGTCCCCAGGGATGTGGGGCTCGCGTTCACTGGCTCCTGCCTGGGAAGTAGAAAGAATGCCTGGATTGGTTATTTTTATTTACTTCCCTAGGAATCAGGCTTGTAAAAAAATACGTGTGATGTTGATATGCTTTTCACTTTTATTTACAAGGCTCACTCAAGGCGGCTGCTTTTTGGAGTCCTGGAATGATCTTTTATGTTTGTTCAGAATCTCTCAGCTGCACGACCTGGTATGCTTACTGTCTTCCCACGTTCATCTTTTTAAAAACAGTTTCAGTCCAAGTTCAATGGCTTTTGGCCATGAACGGTGGCAACAAAACAGAGACCTCCCTTGTTTTCAAAGAATGTATCTACCCCAAAAGGTGTGCTTATGAGCGGTTCCGGCATAAGGACAGCACAGATTTCAAGGTGGAGCAGATCCTGTTGCCGTGGTTACAGTGCTGACCGCCCTGACCCCTCCCGAGACACTGCTGACACACTTATGCTCCATGTCCCTGGCTGTCCTCCTCCGCCCATTCCGTCCTGGGCCTTTGCAGAGAGTGTGAGCTGTGTCAGAGGCATTCAGGGAAGTGCGTGTGTGTCATTTTGACAGTGGCACCACAGAGACAAAAGCATTTCTCTGCCCCTATTGCTGTGAAAAGCACGAGAGCCAATGCTTTCAGTCACTTTCGTTTTCCAGGAAAAGCAATGGTGCTGGTTTGTTTGGATGCCCTCACAGGCGCAGTGGGATGCACACTGCCCTTGTGATGTCGTGAGCCAGTGAGCTGCATGCTTCAGAATACAGATTGTGTGCTGAGCTCCCTCTAGTGACAATAGTGTAGCTGCGTTTAAGGACAGTGAAACTTCCAGTTCAGTTCCGTTGCTTTTCATTTCATAAATTTAATAATTTTCCATGCCACTTAATTTTATACAACCACAGGCATTTCTTGAGTCAGAAACTTTGTTACGGAAACATTTAGTACACTATAATTTGAAAAGATTATATACAAAATATATTGAAAACAGAAATTATAATAACTGAAAATATTTCCTGTGATTACAAAGTGTGAATGAGGCAGTGTTTCAGCTCAGTGTGTGTGTATAAGACACGCCCTCCCCACGACACACATGGCTCCAGCTCTCTTCCCATGTGCTGCCCTTGAGCCACGCACCTCCCCCACTTGCTGGGTGGGGCTCTTGGGTGGGGCTCTCTGGGGGGGGGGGGGCACCCACATCCCCCGTGCGCTTGCTGAGGGCAGGATGGGAATGGAGGAAGCGGGGATGCGCAGCCCTGGGAGTTTGAGGCAGCCTGTGAGCATGTCTCACTGAGGACCCCGTGAGGCTGGCTCACGCCTTCTGGATGTGTTTTTAAAAGTCCAGGAGAGCAACATGGTCCTGGTTGTGAGTTTCACTTTTCTAGACCAAAACAGCTCACCTTGCTCATCAGCTTTTCTCACATTTTGTACTTAAAATTAAATATAAGAAAATTGCAAGCCACCATAGGAACTCGTACAGAAGCATCCTTGACACGTGCTGTTCCGTCCCTCCCCAACCCCAGCTCCAGACCAACGTCTCCAAAGTCCCAGGCTGCTAACCGCTCTTGGGTGCAGCACAGTGATGGGGCTCGGGCTGGGGGCACCGTGCCGAGCTCCAGGCCTGGCTCCCACCCTTGCTCGTGGTTGCCCTTGGGCACGTTGGTTGGCATTGTCTGCAGAGTGAAGGGAAATCCTAACACGACCCATTTCATCAGACGAAACCAGCCCTGACAGAGCAAAACCCGACCGGTGTGTTGTAGGCCCTGATGAAGACAGCAGGCTGCTTATGTCCCGTCTCTCATCACCAAACTGTGCTCTCTGTTAGAAGAGTGAGGGTGCTCAGGGCCTCCTCAGTAAGCAAAGCTGTGTTTTCCCTCCTCACCTGCCGGCTTCTTTTGCATACGGCTGAAATCTGTCCAGACTTTCTGAGAGCCCCATTTACAAACTTGACACCTGATACTTTGAATATAAACTCTTGGCTGTTGCCAAGCTGGTTTATTCACTGTCCTCAGACACACCCTTATCTATCCTGTTTCTCTTCCCCCTAGACTGGCATGCGCTCCAGCCCTTCTTATCACTTCCTTACAGATTAGCTCATACACCACTTCCCTAAGCAGACATCTCGCTGGGGAAATAGATTATAGAGTATAAGGTATATCATGTGCACCCTTACGGAGGAACTGAAAAGCTGCACGAGTGCTGAGGTCTTAGGCAGGACACCTTAGCGGCTTCCGATGAGCAGAGAGAAGTCGTGCAGCTCGCGCCCTCCTCTGGTCACGGAGTGATGCTGGCTTACGGGGTGCAGGCTTCCCAGCAAGCACGAGGCCGAGGGCTGAGGCTGTGCAGCGCGCTTGGTCATGGAGCTTGGAGGGGTGGCCCTGCCTGATCTGAGCCCTGACGAGGGTGTGTGGGTGCTGGGAGAAGGCACGGGTTGAGGCAGGCGCCAGGGCGAGGACCCGGAGAGGAAAATGCAGAGCGAACGCAGCAAAGGCGGAGAAGGACCAGCCTCCGATTAACCTATCCAGTGTTTTATTGTTTCTGTAAAAGCGCAACATGTTCGTGTTTTAAAAAGGACCCCGACATTGTATGTATTACAATAATACGCAAAGGTACAAAGAAGAAAGTGAAAATCACCACCGCCTCCTCATGCTGAGGTTACAGCTGTTGTGGAACAGCCGGCATATTTCCGTCTGTACATAAACACATGAATACTTTTGTAGGTAGGTTCATGTTCTGTAACTCCCTGCATTTACGTGTCACTGGTGTGAATTTGGACTTGACTCTGAGGACTGTAATGAAGGTTTTCTGTAAAAAGGTAGCGATCATGGTGGCATGTTAGGAAAAACTAACGCTGTGCAGTGTGAATCTGAGGCAGCGTGGTGGCCCGAAAACCAGGAGCCCAGGCCAGAAATGGCAATGACACTGACCAGGCAGTGGCCGTGGGATGGAGAAGGGGTGGGCTCAGGTGACATGGAGGTAGCTGCGCGGCCTGTGGCTGGAGGTCGAGCTGTCCCCAGTGATGGGAGGCATGGAGAGGGGGACCTCAGTGAGCCCCAGGATGCCGGCCCAGGGCAGCCACGGGACTGAGCGCCCTAACTGGCAGCTGCACGTGCTGTGGGCTCTGCGTTCCCCAGAGCAGTGAGGCACTGAGGTGCGCAGGGCTGCAGCTCAGGCAGCCCTCAGAGCTGAAGGCAGAACCCTGGGCACCAGTGGTGGAGACCAGGAGGACCAAGGGCTCAGCAGTGGGTGACACCACAGCCATTGGCCGGGCAGAGGACTTTGGGCAGGGACCATTTTGCTCAGTTGTGTGTCTTCAGAATAGCCCCAGCACACAGTGAACTCAGAAGCATTTCTCGAACAAATAGATGAATAACATTTACTTCTATTTCAGTAGGAAAGCTGCTGCTTGTGGTAGCATGATGTGATATAAATGCATGTGCATTTTCTCATGTTTCCAGTTTCTGATGGCTGCATTACAACTGCTTGGTTGTGCCCACTGGCTCTGTGGGAGGGGCGGAGACCAGCTCTCCGTGGGAGCAGGGTCAGAGGTCAGCGACCTGTAAGAAGAGAATGTGAGACCTCCCGCGGCCCTTCTGTGTCCCTCACTGTTTGCCCGTCCCCATAGCCTTTCCTCTAGCTCTCTTGTCAACTGTGTCACAGTGCCGATGGCACAAAGCAGCTAACACCTCCATCACCCCCAAAGAACTGGGGAGCTAGCTGCTACCCTCACATCGCATGCATGTGAACAAGGCTTTGTGTTAATGACTATGAAATTCAATTACCACCCAGTAATATTTATTGAGAACCTACCATTTGCTAAATATCCCCTAGAGAGCGGGGATAGACTGAATGCAATGCAGAAAATGATTCCTGCCGTCACGTTCACCATCTAGAGGAAGAAATCATTACATTAGAGATGATAGGTGATGCAAACTTCTGTCAGTCACTGTTTTCAGGGTATCGTATCAGGAAAGCCTTTATGTAATGGCTTGCTAGACTCCACACAGACACACCATGTCACTGGCATTCCCTGTCACTGGTCTGATGACCTCAAGAAAGAAAGGGACATGACTGACGCCTGACGGGTGCTTCACAAGTTCACACTGACATGGAGCGATCACTGCTTCCCCCTCCCCCTCTCCTACCACAGGAGCTGAAGAACCTCGAACACCTTCCTAAATGCTCAGTAGTCGTCTGCATTTCATTTTTAACAGGCCCAGAACCCCCTAGAATCTCTGAAGATACCAGTATGTTGATTTTAGCAGTTTGTTTTGTGTCATGTATTGTATTTGCTCAGGGATCAGTTCTGCTCATTGAGTTCGGTGGTTTTCTTTCCACCTTGTTGGTTGTTTGGTCACATTTGTGGGCAAGACGCCAACTTGGGCAGTGCCGGTGGCTGAGAGAGGATGAATTCTCGTTTGCTGGGTTTGGGTCCAGCCAACTGTGACTTCAGGAGCTGTGTGTGGCAGATGGAGGGCCTGTTTCAGGGTGTGCAGCTGTCCTCTGCTGTGACAAGGCCCGGCTTCTCTGTACCTTACGTCCACAGTGGCGTCTCCTCTGAAAAGTCTCCTGTACGCAGCTTGGGCACATCAGTGTCAGCCACAGGTGGTGCAGGCCCGGTCTGTCTTTACGAGTCACCTGGCCCAGGCAGGGCCCTTCCAGCCGGCTTCTGCTTGTTTTGCAGAATTCTGCTGGGAAAACTCTTTTCCAGGTCCTCTCTCATGGCTCTGGGCCTGTGTTCCATTTCAGCACCAGTGAACCCAGAAGCTCCCCACTTCTCCCCTGGACAGTTAGCAGCCCCCTTCTGAATTGTCTGAAACTTGTGTGGATGTATTGACATTGCAGGGGATTTGGGAAGACAGGAAAATGCTTGTATTCAGTCTGCCAGCTTGGGCAGGAAGCCACCCACCCTCCTGTGATCGCCCGTGACTAGAGGTCCACTGCAGGTCACAGCCACCGAGCTGGCCTGCGGTCTCCAGGAACGGGTCTCTTACCTGCTCTCGACTCCCGTCCCCTGTAGCTTTTCCAGGATGACTGATGGCGTCCTGCCCACACCTCAGGCATTGGTGCTGTGGGAAGCATTTCTCTCGGCCACTGGCAGTAGCTAGACGCTGGACGTCAGGTGGGCTCATTCCCGTCTCAGATGTGCTTGTTCTGTCTTTTCAAGGGTTGAAACTCCTCATCGAAGGTCTGCTCCCTGCTGGGAGGAAGTTGTGCAGGTCTCCCTTGGTGTCACCTGCTAACCATCAGCCGTCCCTGAGGATAAGGAGCCCCTTTGTCTTTGTTATCTCTGACCTGATTTCTTGTCAAGGCTAAGCCCATTGGCGGCTTTGGCGTTCCTCCCAGGCATTGCTCATCGAGGTCTGGCGGGGACTCCAAGGCTGTTCTTGTCTTTTGACTTCTGCTCGTGTTCCTTGTGCCTTTTCAAGTCTGAGTGCTGGAAACAGCTCCTGGTGCCATGGTGGTGGCTCAGCGCCACTAGGGCAGAGGAGGAGGAGTGAGTCCCTGGGGACAAAATGCCCCCTTCCTGGAGCATGTGCTGCTGAGCCGCCTCACACGGGTAATAGAATCGGATACTTTTCATGACTCCAGAAGCACACATTTGAATGACGCAGGCTCCCATCTCCAAAAGCCAACCCATCAACATAACACAATTTCTCCTAACCTAAAAATCTGTGGCACTTTTCTAGAAGGTGTATGTTTATGCATAGGTTTGTGCATAAAAACCCGGAATGACACACAGCAGACGTTAATAGGACTTGTTTTTGTGCGTATCTGTGCCTTTTAACCTTCCCACCACGTGCAAATACTGCTTGAATGAAGCTGCAGTGTGTGCCCTGTGCTTCCGTATTTAATCTTCTCTTCTTGCTGTGCAACCTCAGGTATAACCCTCACTCCTAAACTTGATTGAGAAGCGTCAGGGCTGTGTCTTTGTCCTTGCCTCCTGGTGACACTTTTGGGCAGCTGCCCTCCCTCCATCCCTACAGCCTGTCCTCAGGACATGTACTCCGGCTCTCTCGGCCGTCCGTGGCCTTGGGAAAAGCCGAGCAGAAGCTCACCAGGACAGCGCATTGCATTTCTCCTTCAGCGATATGCTAGGCCTGTCAGTGGCGTCTTTGTCTCCATACCTCAGTGGAGCTTTCTGTGCCTTCCTGGGTCAGGAAGGAACCCAGACTGACGTCTTCTGAGGAGAGTGCAGAGCAGGCATGCGTTTTCTCTTCCTTCCAGATGATAAGTTTGGACTGATAAAGTCTTGTTAAATGTAATATTTCCTGACCTATAGTGGTAGACATGTTAGGCAACTTCAGAAAGTAAGTAAAGCCCGTGAATTAAGGGAAAGTGCCCAAGGTCACGTCCCTAGACAGCCAGGTCTAGAACCTAGACTCCATTTCTGGTGCTTGTTTCTCTAAACCATTATGCTGTGGATGTGAAGCTGAACTGGAGAACAGTCTCCAGGACACGCCCTTGGTTTATTTACAGAACGAAGGACACATGACAAAGCGTGTGTCGTTTAGTTCCATGTAAGTGCAAGTTCCTCATCTTCAAGGATTGCTGTGTGACAGCTAAGTCAGGCTGGGTGATGCACAAAGGTGGTTACCGTTGTTTGAAAAATGCGCTGGGGATTTTCCTAGAAATTTCTACTTTCCTGAAAGCCTTTCATTTCCTCGTCATAACGTTTCACCCCTGTATACATGCAAGTTCCTGTCTTCCTACTGTCTGCACAAAAGCAGGGTATGTTTGGGAGCAAGTTCAAAGAGATCTCCAAGTGGAAAAGGCCACGTTGATATGACTCAAGAGTAGGTGAGCGAGTGGAAGCCAGGGGAGCAATGTCATCACTGACAGAAGTAAGGGAACACTGAGAAGAGCTGGTGTGGTCACCGTGAGCTCCCGACAGTAGTGATAGCCGGGGGTGGGCTGTGCTTTCCCGCCGTATTTACTGTCACGGCTATAGTTCAAGCACTCCTTCCTAGCTGTCTGTAATGAGCTCCATAAGCTGTGTGCATGCCCTGGGGAGGAGGTACGCACCCTGCTGCCACACTAGATAGGGAACTTCCATATAAAAATAAAGGAAAACAGACCCAAAATATTTAATCGCATATTTTTTACAATTCCAGCAGTGAAGTAAACCAGCTTCAGCAGAGAAAGGGTTATCACAACATAAAAGAAGAAACTATAAGGAAGGTAGGCTATAGACAAGTCCAAGCCATTTTAGAAAAGGGCACGATTATATGAGGTGTGATAAAAAACTATGGTGAATGTTTAAATTTGAAAAAATGTATTACAGTAAAAGACACATTGCCATTAATCCTCCTCAGAATAACCCCCCTTGCTTCGAACACACTTATCCCATAATTCTTGCCACTTTCTGAATCAGTTTTGGAAGTCCTCTTTCGTGAGTGTTTACTTCATCCTCCATCATGACAATGCTCCATGTCACATGTTGCTTCTGATACGGCAGTTTTTGTCAAATAAAAACATTACGGTGTGTCCTCATCCATTTTATTCACCGGATCTGGCACTGTGCGACTTCGTTGGGCTCTTCCCCAGAGTCCAAATGATTCAGGACATCGAGGCAGCCACGATAGCGTAACTAAAGACACTCACTAAAGACACTCATGAAAGAGAACTTCCAGAACTGCTTCAGCAAGTGGCAAGTATGATGGGATAAGTGTGTTCGATGCGAGGGGAAGTATTTTGAGGGGGGTTAATGGCAATGTGTCTTTTACTATAAAAATTTTTTAATTTAAACATTCACCATATGTTTTGATCGCACCTTGTCAATATCCATTAAGTTCTACTTGGATTTTTCTTCTCTTTTTTCTTGTTCATCATCCAAATCCCTTAGGCAATAGCAGCACAGGAACTAAATGTATTTTGTTGTTGAAGCTGCAGCATACACAGAAAAACGAAACATGGGAGATCACATTAATGAAACAAAATTTTGGGAAATGTTTACTCTAAATATAATATTGTGAACTGTCTTCAAGAGACATTCCGATGGACCGGCTCACCCTCATACTTAGGATATGGAAGGCCTTTTATTAAAAACCCCAAGGAAAAGAGTCCATTATTTCCCTTTGGAGGAAAAAAATCCAGGACATTAACTTAATTGTGTAAAAGTTCTTCCATCCTCCAACTTTCATGGTTGCGTTTCCTCCTTTCTCTTTGTAAGTAGAAAGAATCTGGTTATCATCTCTTGTAAATATTTACAATTATTTTCAGAGAAAGGGAGAACAGTGAAGAGAATCACGTTCTGGAGTCACAGCTCAAGACAATCATTTGCCCGTAAAACTATTTCCTTGTTTTAAGTAAGAACGTCTGATTTATTACTTACGAGGCACAGGAGTAAGCTATCACATTTTCACCTCAAATATAAGAATTACCATACACTGTGATGTACTGAGTTAATATTGACATTGGTAAACAAGACTAACGGGAGACATTGAAATAACAAATGATTAGCCCTGTGAATAGACATGTAGAGATTATTTCTTTTTCCCTGTTGCGGTTATGAGCTAGAGTTTGCTTATCTGTAAAGATCACAATGTGCGTTGTGTCTCATGGGATGGGTTCCAAACACAGTATGTTAGGGTCACCTCTCACAACACTCCTGTTAGAAAAGCATGACCACCCCCATTTTTACTGTTGAATAAAGTCATTCCCGGGGAGGATAAGCAAGTCATGGAAAGAGGATCTCAACTCATCATCTTGACTCCAAACTAGGCTTTTTCCTTCTTCCTTCCCTCCTTTTCAGTTTTGTTTCCTTCCTCTTGTCACTTGTCATTTCCAGTTCTGAGGCAAGGCATTGGTACAGATAGGTTCACAGCCACTTGCTGATCCGCAGTGGCTTGTTCCTAGTTCCCTCTTTTGAGTAGCCCCAAAACTGAGGAGGAGGGGTGCTCTGACCCGCCTTTTCTGTTACACAGCCTTTCCTCTTCCACCGAGCCTGAAGGACCCCCCCCCCCAGACAGACTTGAGGAGCTGCCAGCGCTCTTCCCTTCTTCGCCTTTGTCCTCTGCGTCTCTGCTGGTATTGGGAAGCACCTGCAGATGTCCTCGCAGGCCCAGTTTCTCGGATGCCCTATTACATTTTTTTTTTAATTTCTAAAAAGCATATAATATAAAATGTACCCTCTCCACCATTTTAAGTGTGCAGAAATGCTAACTGTATTCACGTTATTGTGTAATGGGTCTCTAGAACCTTTCCTTCTTGCAAAACCGAAGCCCTAGGCATGTCAAACAACTCATTTCACCCTCCCCAGGCCCTGGCAGCTACCGCTCTACTTTCTAGTTTCCATGATTTTCATTACTGTTGCTCTCATATAAGTAGAAATATACGATATCTGTTCCTTTGTGACTGGCTTATTTAACTCAGCATAATGTCCTCAAGGTTCAAACATGTTGTAGCAGGTAATACAATTTCCTTCTTTTTTAAGGCTGAATAACATTCCATTGTATGTATGGACCACAGTTTCTTTATATATTCATATATCAATGGATGTTTGGCTATTTCCACTTCTTGGCTACTGTGAATAAAGCTGATGAACATGGATGTGAAAATACGTTTTTGAGATCCTGCTTTAAGTTATTTTGGATAAATATGCAGAAGTGGGATCGCTGGATCCTATGGCAATTCTAGTTTGAGTTTTTTGAGGACCTTATACTGTTTCTTGTGGTGCTGCCCCATTTTACATGCCCACCAGCAGTGTGCGAGGATTTGGTTTTTCTACATCCTTGCCAGTACTTACTATTTTTTTATTTTTGATAGTGGCTCATTGTGGTTTTGGTTTGCATTTCTCTAATGATTAGTGAGTATGGCCTTTTAAAAAAAATTTTTAAAAACTTCATTTTTACGATTGAGTGTATATTATGTGCTCAGCACTGTGTTAGGGACTTTGCATGCAACAGCTCAGTGCTTTGAACAGCCATCTGTGGCCTAAGTGGTGTTACCCCTACTTTGCACATGAGGAAACTGAGAATCAGAGTTTAAGTAATTTTCCTAAGGACAGAGAGTGGCTAAATGGTGCAGCCAGAGTTCAAAACCAGGCCTGACTCCACAGCTCCTAGTAACCCCTGAGCTGTTCCCTCTCTGCCTTTTGCTTTCCCTCCCGCAGGGTTTGGTGAATAACCCACAGCCCTGCACAAAGGAAAAGGAAAGAGATGCTGGTTAAGTGCCCATTTGGGGCTGGACATGTTGCCAAGCTCCCAGAGGGGCAGTGTGCGCGTGCTTTGGAGGGAAGTGAAAGAGGGAAGCCCTTGGTTTGACTCAGACGAGCAGCTACTCCACTTGCCGTGGAAGCTGCTGTGCCCTTCTGGAGCACAGCATGTGTTCAGTGTTCTGCAGAACGGATTTTGAGCTCATAGGTCTGACTTTCCAGGATTTCACAATGAATATGAATTCACCGTGGATGTAGTCACAGTCATGCTTACTACTTAAGATGCTTTCTTGAGGGCCTTTTGTAATGTAGTTCCTCATGGACTATTATTATATCCTCATCAGCTCAGCCCTTAAATTTTTTCTCTGCAAAACCCTTAAACTAATCTCGTTTCTCCTGACCATGAACTCTCCTCAGCTTACTCACTCTTATGACAGTCATTCACTCACTTTCCAACAGAGAATGGCCGGGCCTTCTGAATGCTGGAGACAGAGCAGTGTTTCAGAGACAGATGGGGCCTTTTTTCCATGGAGCCTATTGTGTCATTGGAAGAGCAGCTCATAGAAAGCAAACAAACATTTAGGTTTAATAACTACTATGAGATCGTTCAACAGGGAGATGGGACAGAGGTATTGGGGCAAGAAGGCTTCTGTGTTACGGTGCTAATGAAAGACTTCGGAGAGCATTGGAGCTGAGACCCGAGCGCTGGGTACTGAGCAGTCCCACTGGGGACGGCCAGTGCCAGGGCCCTGGGGAGGTGAGAGGTCCACGATGTCAGACCGACAGACAGACCGAGGACCTGAGGGACTGGGGTTGCCGAGATGGCAGGAGACGAGCTTGCAGAAAGTGTCAGGGCCTGTGGTCAGA